TTCATCTCTAAAAGATTGTTAAAACTCTCATTCATGTGTGTGTGTATCATCTTTATATCAGTACCATTTCATTAAAGGTTTACAAATGGCTATTTATAATCCGAAGATAAAACATACCATAATAAGTGTTGTTAAGTAATGTTTCAAATGAATGATAATACTGCGTAGGAAATTTGGAAAGTGTGAACGGGAGTGTTTTTAATCTTGTGATACAGTATTAAATACAATTTTTTTTATTAAAGATGAGATACATTAATTAATTTTTTTGATTGATAAAACATATTTCAAAACTATCTATTTTTATTTTCTAGACCGTAATAATATACAAAAAAATTTAATATCAAATTCTATTAGGCATATGAATTTAAACAACAAATTTATATAAATTCAATGAATAAAGTATTAAATAAAAATTATTGTTGAACGTTTTTCAAATATTCAATTCAAACTAAGGGATGTAAAAAAAAAATATTAAATCTTGTGCAGGGGAACAGATTTGCAAACCTAAATGCTCACATTTTTGGCCAGCTAATCCACAAACAATAAAAATATGTATGTTTATAGAAAAAAAGATTCTGTTTTTTTTTAATTTAATCTTATTGAAACAATTATTCATTAACACACATTCTTAAGGCAGCTTGGAGTTTACAAAGGAATAATGAGTTTGTAATGTCTGAAGTGCTTTCAGAGTTGGCTCTATCTCAAGAAACATAATGAAAAATAGAAAACAAAGGTTCTTGACTTCAGACTCTTGGCATAAATACTGTAAAGGATGGATGATAGGCTGCATTTCTGTCTCAGTCCTCTGTTTGTATGAAGTGATTTTGGATGGGCCCATTATTAATTTTTATGGTGAGTTTTGGATTTACATAGAGTGTTGTTTTTTTTCATTGATAATTTCTTCTGGTATTCCTTGTTCTTCTAATATTTTCCATAGTTTAACCCTGATCATTATATCATATGCCCTATAAATATCATATAGGTTGGTAAGTTTCTTTTATTTCTTTTGTCTAATATAGTTCCTACTGTGAATACAGCATTCTTTGTGCCATTCTGAATCCACATTGTTCTTTGCCCATGAAGCTTTCACTGTACTCATTCATTCTATTCCTTAATACATTAGCAAATAATTTTGAGGTGGTTGGTCATAGCATTATCCCTCTGTAGTTGTTGCAGTCTAGTTTTGTTCCTTTCTTTCGTATATTTGTTATCAAACCTGTTTGCCATTCTGATGGGGAAAGATTCTCTGTCCATATTTTGTTAAATACTTCAATCAAAATCACTTTCAGTTCTTCACCTCCATATTTGATAAGTTCTATGTTAACTTCATATATTCCAGGCCTTTTTCTGTTTTTAACGTTTTTGAGTACTCGTTCAAGTTCTTCTATTTTTATTTCTTCTACAGTTTAATTTCCAAGATCTGAGGTCATGTTCATGTTTGATATGTGGTTGTCTTTATTCCACAATTTTGTATAGTGTTTTATCCACTCTGTTTCTAGTATTAGGTATATATTCACTTTATATCTTGTTTCAGTCCCAAGCACTCGTAGTATTTTAAAGCCAACTCTTTGAGGTCCTGTGATTTTTTTCTCTATTGATTTTACATATTTCTCCCAGTCTTCTCTTTTATTTTTCTTGTTTCTTTCCTTGTTTTTGCTCTCCACTTTTTATATATTAAGTAGCCCTCTTGTTTCTTTTTCTGTAGGAGTTTCTTATAGGCTTTCTTGTTGTTTAGAATGGTTTCTTGTATTTCTTCATTCCAGGATCTTATCCACTTCTTCTTTTTTGGTCTTGTAACTCCTAAGCATTCCTTAGCTGATTCCATTATTGATTGTTTTAGAGTTGTCCAGAATGTTTCAACATTTTGTTTGTTTAGTTTTTGTATTTTATCCTTAAGCATTTTATAAATAAATATCTAAAACTTTCTTCTTCTTCTAATAGATGTATCTTTAATTTGGGTCTCACTAAGGCTTTCTTCTCTTTCTTCTTGCAGTGTTGGGGGTTGATTTTAATTTTTCTTTTAAGGGGGTGTCTAATTCAATTCCTCTGACAACTTTAGTGTCATACTTTGTAGAGTAAGTCTTCATTTGCAATGACATAGTCAATAATTAATTTTTTCCTCTTCCTTCCCATGTAAATTTGGGTTTATCTTTGTGTTGGCGATCATTTGTAAATTTAAAAAGTTAAATGGCCCAGAAATGTAGTTGTACTCCCCTTTTATTTTAGTCTACACACACTTATGCATATCTTATGAATTGCTCTTGTTGCAATCACGTATTCTAATGGATGTATTTTTCTTTTCTCTTTGATATCAATTTAATTTTCAAGAAAGGTTTTCAGGGATGGGAGTGACAGGGGCATCCTGATGGGTTGAAAGCAAATTTGTCTGCAAAATGATTTACTGATCATCTCTATCAACGTGACATCTTATCTCTCCAACAGCAATACTGTCTTGGGCTTAAGTAAATATCAATCTTCACCCATTGTAGATCCTTTCTTGATTTACCCTTATCCAAAAGTAATGAAACAATTACATTATTAAATTTTCTCTATTTTAAATAAAAACTTTAACATTATTTAAGTAAAGAGTGGGCATCTTCTTCTAAAATAAAATTTTCGTCAGACATTTTCCTGTAGAAATGTTGATCAGAACCATCCCTATTTCATGTTTATTTTCTTCAGTTTTCTTGTTTTTGAGTTGTTAATTTGCCATACCAAAATGATTTTGTTCTTTGGGCAACAAGATGTATAAACGCAGAAATCATATCCTTCACTATTTTGCAAAAGAAATTTTATCAGTGAAAATTATAATGTGCTTTAACTGAATTATGCTTGTGTTTCTTAAGATTCTCAAATTTCCTCTTACGATTTCTAAAAGAATCGGGATTATGATTTCTAAAGGAATTAAGCAAGGCTGTACTGTGACAATTCAGGATAAATGAGATTTCACCTCCAGGCTCATTATCAAAAACACTTTATATGACCTCTGTATCTTCTATCACTATCTCAGGTTATTGTATATTTCACATCAACTTTGATTCTAGAATCATCAATATATCCAATCACCCTCCTGCATTTTGATATCTCGAATAAAGGAGAATCCTCATCCTCTTCCTTTTCTGCCTTTCGCAGCAATGAGATTGAAGGAAAAGTGGAATCTTAGTACTTGGAGTTTTGTTTTAAATCAAATACCATTATAACATTAAAATTAGTTGTTTGTGATAATCAAAGTATTAAAAAGAAATTTCACAATAGTATTTCTTGAGTTTGCAACATTAAAAAAGAATTCAAGATCTCAATGATGATAAAAAATGTATTGGAACATGCTGCCTTTAATCTCTCGATTAATTTTCTCTGTTGTCACATAATGCAGCATTAAGATATTGTTTTTGCTTTGATTCCCTGTCAGAACTATTTTTTATTCTCCTCAACATCAAGAGTCAAATATGAACATTAATAGTTCACAATTGAATGGTGATTCTGAACTAGTTGTTTCAACTATTGATAAATTATTAACTTTTCTCTATGAAATAACTAGCCTAATACAGCAGACATTCTGTGCTTCATCTCCATTTCTCTCTCTCTCCCTCTCTTCCTCTCTTCCTCTCTTCCTCTCTTCCTCTCTCCCTCTCTCTTTGTCTCTACCTCTCTTTTCATCTCTCCCTCCCTCTTCTCTCCCTCTCCCTGTCTCTTCCTCTCTCCGTCTCGCCCTCTCCTCATCTCTCCTTCTCTCAGTCTCTCCCTCTGTCACAACCCCTCTCTCCCTCTTGTTCTCGTTCTCTCTGTCTCTCCTTCCATACCTACTCTGTCTCTCCCTCTCTCTCTCTCCCTTCGTCTCTCCCTCTTTCTCTTTCCGTCCATCCCTCTCTCTCCACCTGTCCTTCTCCCCATCTCTTCCTCTCGCCTTCTTTCCCTCTCTCCGACTCCCCTTCTCTCTGCGTCTCACTCGGTCCCTCTTTCTCTGTCCCCCCCTCTCTCTCTCTCTCTCTCTCTCTCTCTCTCTCTCTCTCTCTCTCTCTCTCTCTCTCTCTATCTCTCTATCTCTCTCTATCTCTCTCTATCTCTCTCTCTATCTCTCTCTATCTCTCTCTATCTCTCTCTATCTCTCTCTATCTCTCTCTCTATCTCTCTATCTCTCTCTCTATCTCTCTGTCCCTCTCATACACATTTAGTTGCTTATTATGCACGTCCCTGAGTAGGTAATATCGAGAAGCGTCGGACCAGCAAAAAAGTAATAGAATGTTCAAGAAGATCTCATCCTGCAGATTACGGTGTGAGAAACTTCTTTGAGGACTTTGGCCTGAAAATTTTAGTTTTTAATGCCCTACAATGCTTCATTTAGGAGTTATTTAATGATATAGAGTCAAAAAATAGTGCCGTGTGTTGCGGGGTGCATTTGACTGAATATTTAATTTTGTTCTTTGTTCTTATTTTCATGAATTTTCAACACTATAGTTATTCTGCTATTCAGGGCGGAGATGAATCCAACAAATCAGAGATAATTAAAATTGGTGCAGCCTGTCTTATATTATAAATGGTGTAACTAAACTGACTATGTTATATCTTTTCCCACTTGTGTCATAATTTATAATAAATGCATCATAACGGACTACATAATATTTCCTCATGGGTTAATTGTTAAGTATATCAGCTGTAGAGAGCAAAAGTATTGTGTAATAATAAAAATAATACATTTGTAGCGATAATAATATATTTATTATTTATTGGATCATTACTAAAAGTTATCACAAATTCAATTCAATATATAATTTAGTAATGAATATTTCAAAAGTGATTAGTGCCAAAGGTACTACTTGCTTTTTGAAAAAAAGATATGACTTTATAAAAATGTTCAGGCTTTCTTATAAAAGCAGGAATGCCATCAACATTATTCTTCAAAACACCTGAAGAGTATCAAAAAAATGTTTTTGCATTTCAGCATTGTAAATGACCGTTCTTTCACAAGAAATATTTCTTCATTTTGTAGCAAGCATGACATTTTATGGCACAACCCACTCAACTTCCCTATCCATCTTCCTCTCAGCCCCTCCCTCACTGCCTGTCGTCCCTGTCCGCACTCCCTACATGAATCATAATAGGGCCCACTAACAACTTATGTTGCCAACTGCAAAAGTGCTTTTGAAATACGTTTCCAAAATTAAATTTGGTTCTTTTATAAATTTATAATTCTGTTGTACATAAAAATAGCATATGTGAAGTGTTTAAAATGTTGCTTTATTGCATTCATTGAAATTTGAAAACTCACTCACAATGTAAATCATTTTCAAAACATGTACTCATGCAATCCAGCATAACATTGTAAAATCTTTGCCTAAAATATATTTTACCCTTATTTAGGAAAGCTAAGAAATATATCTGGGCAAGGAGAGTTGACGAGACATTTAAAACAAAAAAAGTTATAATAAGTGAACAAATATATTTTCCTTTGAGTTTTGCATATCAAACATTCAAATAATTTTAATCCTTTTAATCTTAATCCTTAAATCCTTCATTTTCTAAAATATTTGACATTCATGAATGAGAAAGATTTTTTGATTCATAATATTGTTTCAACTGAAATGTCACACAGATCTAATAGTGTGGCAGCGTATCATAACTTAATTTCACCAGACCTTCAATCTTTGACCTACAGACAGTCAAATGAATCATGTTTTTTTTTAATTGTTGGTTCAAATTTAGTCCATCAATAATTGTTTCTTGTCAAAAGAGCATAGTGTTCTCCAAAACCAGCTGATCTGTATACACTATTCTAAACTTAAGTTCAAGTTTCTATTGTTGTTTACTGATCAACATATGTCAAACAACACTTGCATATGGACTGAAAAAAGGATAACAAAGTCACAAAAGCATAGATATACGAACTTTTTAGTTTATCATTTTATCTAAAAAGAGCCCATTGTGCAAAATGCATAGTTGCCCACAATAAATTAAATTACATTTTCTCAATAAACCACAAGCAGTACTTTTGGCACTTACCATCTTTCAGAATTCCAATCTTCAATTATTTTACAAATATCTTCTTTTTTATTTAAATTTTACTTGAAACAAACTTCTGTCAAGATGACACACACACATACATACACCAAAATGATTATTATAAAAAGTTCTATGTCAATTGATACATCAATTTATGATATAATTTTACAAACTGCCATAAAATGATGCAGAGAATGTGTTGTACATTCATAAAAACGTTAATGTACCAATATATTTCAGTATTTTAAGATTAAAAGTAATATTAGGCTATTAACTTCTTGCTATTGAATTATAATTAAGCTTAGTCTTTTTTTTAAGTCTTTCATTCATGTGGAAACTTTAAAAAAGAGAATCATGTAAGTGTGTAATTCAATGTAGCACATTACAATATATCCTCGGCCTTGATATTTTTATCAAGATTTTTTGTCATTTTTATCTGTTTGATGATTTCCATTGAAGTGGAAGTATTTAAAATGGTAAATGAAACAAATATAATATTTAAAAGAAGTGAATTGACACAAAAAATATACAAATTCAAATTTTTATACTGAAAAATAAGGTTTAATCTTTTTTATTTATTTCAGAATTTAACACACAACTTAGTTGAAACCAGACGGAAATATGAAATCCTTTTCTTGCTTAATTGTCATGCAAAGTAATTATTGATAGGCTGCTTACTAGTTATTAGGTCACAACAAAGGTTAAAATCCACAACACACATAGTGTTTGTACATGATGCAATCAACAATATTGTGAAAAAATATAATATTAAAAAAAAAAAATTAAAAATACCTTGATCAGAATGTAGTTGTGTTTTTGTTGGGACCTATTTGATGTACAACATTTATTACCAAAAAACCATAGCGAAAAAATTCAAAATTAATTTGGAAGTGCTCTGTGAACACTGAGAATTTCTCATTGTCAACCCTGTTTGCGCCACATCTTGTGGGAAGCATTTGAGCGGTGCTCAGCTACATCTTAATGCATTAATGCGTCAACCTGTACAGTGCTCCTCGGAAGTTGCTGAGTTTAGATGAGAAGTTTAAGGATGGAAATCTGAATTTACTCACAGGTGATATAAAAGGGTCCATGGTACCGTGGGAGGTAACAGGATGGAGCTTCTTTTTCCCTCCTTTATTGGGACTGCCAGAGGCTGTGAATTAAAAAAAAATAAAAAATGAATAGTTATAAGAAAACTTGCCATATTAGTAACTACCAGACCTCAGAATGGCAGTTTTCAAGAAACAAAATATTATCCCAGACTTATTTCCATTAATACAATGAACACTATAACAAACAAACAAACAACTTTTATGCAACACTGAATAATTATGAACATTAAAATACTTTAGTACATAGGCATGCACAGCTTAAAACGATGGGGCCATTACAATTTTGGGTCCCTCTAAGCCCCCTTTTCCATTAAACTTTTTTATTTACACGCGACATATTCTAAAAGGAAATAAATAAAACATACTGCAAGGATAATTAATTTATAACTGTAATGATACAATTAATAAATACAATTTATTTTATATTGTTGATAGTTTCGAAAGCTTCTTTGCCAAAGGTTGTGTATCAATTCCCCAGATAGTCATCCTTATAAAAAGGAAAGAATAAGTAATGAATCATTTTTATAGAAATAAAATTAGGACAATGGGGCTCCTTTCAAAATTTGTGCACTCTACATGCATGTCTATGTTTTACTGGAAAGAAAACAAACTGTACTTCTTTGCATTATCAAAGATAAACAAAATTGGTTATATATACATGTCCCATCTACAGAAGTTAGTGAGAGTCTTATCAAAGAAAAACTCATTAAAAAAACATAAATAATAAAATGAAATTCATGGCCAGACCATAAATACTGATGATACAAATTTTGTGCAATGATACATAAATGTCTACAGAGTATTGCTGCAAAAAGGATAATTTTGTTTTTGAACTATATACTTTCACCACTAAAGGGCTTTTATTACATTTATTGTGTTATCGTGGAATGGGGGCAACTATAAACACTGTGACACAGTAATAAGTAATCAATTGGTGGGATGGGCAAAGTAAAATGAGGTTATTTATTTTGATATGCATCTTTAAAAACCTAGGTAGCAGTGAATATTCATATAATGAACAATAGAACAATTTGATAATGCTGAGTGATGGACATGCACACTGGGGTGTGAGTGAGAGGGCAAGGAGCCTGTAAAATTTTTCAAAGGAGATCCAAAGCCTTTTATAATAAAACATTTTATTTCCACACATATGTTCAGTTTCTTATTTCCTCCTTTTTTACCTGACAATTTCTGAAATTGTTACATATCATTTAGGTAGAAGTTCTCTTGGCCATAATTTAATACTTATACCGTTTAAGTTACTATTTCATTCTCCTTAGAGCACATTTTATTTATTTATTAGTAAAATATGTCACATGTAAGTAAAATGGAGGTCCAGATAAGTAGTTGGTTCCCTTCTCATTTTAGGCAGTGCATACCTATGCTGGTAATGTATCTAATGTACCATGTTCTTGTTATGTTAGGCTTCATAGGATGGATTAACTCATTAAGTCTCAAGGATTAACCCATCTAGTCTTCTGGAGGAAAAAGAAGAAAACTTGATCGACAGTTTAATTGTTAACTCATGGAAAATATATAATATTGTGAAGGAAGAAAAAAAATGTCACAACTAGAATTTCACTCTTAGGTAGCCATGGCCCAAATAAAATCTCAAGACTGTGCAAAAGAAAGTGAACACAACGAGTCAGTGAATAGACACAGAAAACTGAAAAATCCCATTTTGGTTGACCTCCTAACGGTTCCCTATCTGTAAGTAAGTTATGATGATGTAGGGATATCGCCTTAGGTGGTTCGGGGCATCAATTGATATCACTGCAATGCCTCTTGACTCTTGAACGCGAGGCCCTACGGTTCGAGTTCTGATTGTGGAGGGGTTTTCGCCACGCTATTTTTTTTTGGGGGGGGGGGTCGAACTTAGTCCCTGTCTGGAGGAGAATTCTAGCGGCCGGCAGCTCTGATTGGTAGTTTTCCCTACTATCTATCTCCCATCAACACCAGGTGAATGCCGGAGCAAAAGGACCACGGACGGTGCGCGGATCTTTCCTTCCTCTTCCTTGTCCTATGCTCACCCTTATTTACATGCACTACATTACCACGCTTGTCGGGAGACCAGTTGGGAGCTTGGAGCTTGTCCCGGTTGAGGCGGTGCCTCGCTGGTGGGAGATACTTGGTTGGGGAACACAGCAAGCCGACGGTAGGTCGGCGCCCGATCTCGCCATCCAGCGAGGGAAGATGGTGATCGCCACCTCACGCGATAAAAGCATACAGGGCTTTAGCGCTTACGAGACGTAACCTTAGCAGTTGATGCGCTGCAAAAAGGATAATTTTGGAACGCTGGAACCACCAATCAATCAATCAATACTCTAGGGAACGAGGTTAGAGAGGAGGAAAAGGAACAAAAAGTGACGATAGCGCAAAAACACTACAATTTAGAATGTAAAAGATGCAATGTTCATCTTCATTCACACTGTTTTCAGTAGTTTCATGTCAAAATGAATTGATATACCCGCTCTCATTCCAAAGTTGCGTATACGCAACATTTTGTTGTACATTCACTCGTAGATGGAAAAATGTATAAAAGTTTTTTGTCCTTTGTAATGTATAAATTGAATAAATAAATATATATTTTTAAACAAATATTATTTATAATCTTGGTTCTTATTGCTTAAAGTAATAATTCCTGTGAAGCTTGGTAGAATGTAATCATTAAATTATTTGAAGTTGATTGATCGATTATTTCTTATTTCTGCGTGTCAACTAACATGGTCATTGGTCCCGGTAGTGTAGCACATGTTTTACCACGTTATGGGGCTTGTTCCCCCTTCATTGGTGAGGTCCGGTGTCGACCTAAATGGCGTCCTGCTGTTCTCCTCGCCCAGGTATCTCCACCAGCGGGGCATCGCCCCAGACAGATCAAGCTTTAAGTTCACTAGAGCCGATATGTACAAGTATGCTAGTGTAGTTCAAGTAAATATGTGTAAGGAATGGATGCAGAAACAAGGAAGAAGGGAAGATCGTGCGGGGTCCGCGGCCTGTTTGTTAAAGTACTGCTCCGGTATTCGCCTGGCGTTCATCGGAGAAATCACGACAAATCAGAGCATCCGACCGCTAGAATTCTCCTCCAGACAGCAGCTGAATTCGACTTGCCAATCGTGTCGAAAACCGGGCGACTGTCGGACTCGACCCCATCACCGGCTGTGGCACGAGAGGGCGATGAGCCGTCTCAGCCGGGGTGGACGTACCTCCGGGGACGTTGGGCAGGGAGAAGTCGTCGGCGCCGATGCCGCGGCTGCTGCGGCTGCTGGGGCAGGTGGCGGCGGCGGCGGCGGTCTGCCGGGGCGGCGGCCGCCGTTGGGCCGGCGCGAGGCGCGCGCGCCAGCCACGTCGGTGAGGCGCGGGCGGCGCCGGCGGCGGGGCGGCGCCGGCTGCGGCTGTGGCGCGACTCGGAGCGGCGGCCCGCGCGCGCCAGCATCGACACCGGCTCGCGCAGGTGGCCCGGCAGCGGCAAGCGAGACCGCTTCGGCGCCTCGAACAGCCTGCCGCCAACCTAACCAAGCCTTTTCATCCGAGATGGACTCTCAATCAAGGATATGAAGCTACTGGGAAGCGTACATCAAATCTAATCCCTGCAAACTGCTATGAAATGAAAGTATGTTCTAACATTTTTAATTACCTCGAATTACAAAATAAATTACATTTTTTAAACGTGGTTTATATATATAAATACATTTTTAAAGTGCGACATTAATCACACTTTTTCCTACGTCAAAAATGTGACTTTATTCCTTCTGGATTTAAGTGGCACTTTTAATCCCTCCGGATTAAAGTAACCACAGACCGGAATTAAAGTAATCCTTCGGATTAAAGTAACCCACGCCACCAGCGACTCCCATTATCATTACAATCTGAGAAAGAAAGAGAGATTGATAACCCTAACAAGTCTAAGAGAATACGTACACGTAAGTTAAAAACTAACCTTCAACAATAAATAGCTATTAACAAATCTGTAAAATTCTTTTTTTTTCTGGCTAGTAGCCTAAAGGAGTCAATGAAACACAAACTGTGTGTGACGTACTGTGTGGAGAAATGTTTTCTGTTCTCTTTATTAAATTCTGGGATTCCTAACCTAAACTATACGCAAGTTGAATTATGAATGCAGGTGAAACAAGCGTTTTGAATGAATTAATCAGAAAAATATAGCTCTCGTGTAATAAAATCTATTTGCAAAGGCAAATAAGTTACAGATTTTGCTATCATCCCTTATCGTGTTCTTCTTGAAGAACCGACTTACTGTCGCGGAACACTTACGAATAACTATATACAATTTAAGTCTAGAAACATGCACAGTTATTGAAGTTCCATTTACGTCCTGAAGCAAAACAAGGTGCCATCTTACATTCTCTCGAGATCAGGGAAACTAAGGAATAACCCTTATCCAACATGGATCGTTTAAACAGGGTCCCAGCGGGCAAGACGTATGCGCAGCTGCCTCGCGCACTCACTTGCGGCGAAACATGAGGCGTCCGCCCGTTGAAGTAAGGTTGTTGATGGACGGGTGCAGAGCTGGTGCCGGCCGGGGGCCGGCGCGGGCGCCCGCGGCGCGGGCGAGACGCGGGGCGTCGCCGGCGCGGCCTCGCGGGCAGCGACGCGTAACCCAGCCCCCGCCGCCGCCTCCTGCGGCCGGATCAGACACGTCTATCGCTAGGCACAACACAAACACACCGCATCGAGACCTCCCCCTCTCGTGCTCCCCCTCGAATCCCACTCGTGCTGACACTTGCACATGTTTGGAGTGCTTCCTTGAACTGTACTACAGAAAAGTACAACAGTCGCATGCAAATTAAATGCTAACAATACAAATACATCAAAGTTTATATTTAACTCAACTACAAAAAAAACTAATGCAGTTTCCTTTATCTTATAACAGTAAAGTATAATATTACAGCGAGCAAGCGACTGCGCTGCACCTACCCCTCGCTGCCCGCAGGGGCGTCCATGAGCTCCATGCGGTCGGAGAGCTTCCGGCGCACGTTGGTGCCGGTGGCGACGAGGCGGGCGCGGGCGTGCCGCGGGGGCGCGGCGCCTGCCGCCGCGGGCGCGGCGGGCGGCGGGGCGTGGGCGATGCGGCTCGCGCGCCTGTCGGCGTCGCCCGCGCCCACGCCCGCGCCCGAGCGGGGCGCGCCAGGGCGTCCGGGCGGCGGCGCAGGTCGAAACGCAGCGCCCGCGCCGCGCGTCCTGGCGAAGGCGCGGCGCACCGCCTGCACCGCCCCTGCAACGCCCAGCGTGCGCCACGCTGCTCGCCCGACACGCGCCTGGCGTCAGCCTCTGCCCCGACGCTCGGTGGCTGCGGCGCGGGCGCGGCTCCCCTCCGTCTCTCTTCCTTCCGCCCGTCAACCCCTCCCTTTCTTTCTCCCTCTCTCTCTCTTTCTCTCGCATTCTTTCTCTCATCCTTTCTCGCTTTCTTTCTCATCCTTTCTCCCTCCCTCTCTGTCCCCCCTCTCTCTCTCTCTTTCTCTCCCTCTTCGTCCGTCTCTCTGCCCTTCCGTCTTTCTACCCTACCGTCTCTTTGCCCGTCCCCCTCTCTCTGCGTCCTGTCTGTTCGTCAGTCACTTTGTCCGCTCAGTCTGTTTATTCGGTGCGGCTTGTCTCGCGCCTCTCTCGTCTCCCTGGTTTGTCTCTGGTCTGCATAGTCTGTCTCTTGTCTGCCATGCCTGTTTCTTATCTTCCTAACAAAGTGTCTGTCTTATTTCTTTGCAACAGGTTTTACCTTTTGCTAGATTTCTTTCAAGAAACTAAACACCCCAAAATCCCAACAATACATGCACAATTTCACTCTATACACACTGATAATGTGTATAAATTTACTGAACTACATTAATATATTTTACTCATTGAACCGGGGAGAAGTGTTTTTTGCTGCATAAATGTCATTTTAAGTGCATTATTAATAATCTTTTCTCTCGATTCGCTCCATTAATCTCTCTCATTTACCTTGTATGAATCTTCTCTGTTTTGTTCGCGTCTTTTTTTGTTTCGTGTCGTTTTTCTGGTGATCTGTTGGGTCGCAAGTCTGGTTTGTCAGTCTCAGATTTTATTACTACTTACTCTATTTAAATTTAAAACAGATTACGACGTAGACGCGACGTACAGCGAATAACCGGTGCAGACACTTTTTCTTAATCATTTTAGCTCACCGTACGTCACGAGTACGTCGCGCAGTATTGGCACGACACACCCCATTTGAGAATAAATCTTTGACTAGCTTCCAAAAAATGTAATTACGATATTTTTCAAATTCAATAGATGTTTCCAAAAAATACGTGTTTTGACTTTAATGTGGGGAGTTTTTTTAAATTTTAAAATAATAAAATACAATATAGGCACAAGCTTGTTGCAATTCCGCCAAAGATAACGGCAAAAGTTGAGCTGAGAAGTCTGCGTGTTTTCGTGTGCGCGCGTGTAAGAGCAAGGCGTGAAGGTTGCGCAAAGAGTGTCCCCATTAATAAACAATTAGGGTAAAATCAAATTCATACTTTAATAACTTTCAAAGTCCCCTCTCTCAAAACCCACCCACGGCGTGCAGTCTGTGAGAGCTTCTGGGATTCTCTGAATGGAGATGTCACACACATCATTGATTATTACATGACAATAATTATAAGGCTATATAATAGTTTACTTTCCGCATTTAACTCTTCACCAACGTCACCTGGATGCTGTACTGATAAAACTATTTTCAACGTTTTTCTGGCAAAGTTTCCAGAATTAAATTCCAGTTTTTTTCGAGGTACGAGTTAAGCGAGGACATTTGGTAAATTCGGTATAACTTAGATGCTACACTTGTTTTAATATTCCACTAGAAAGGGTAAACATATCGTTGTGCGAATTAAGAAAATATATATCTTTCAGTGATTTGAGGACCAGGGAAACAACGCGATTGTGTCTTTCTCCATTGTCCAGAGCCCCTGTTTGACGGCTTAGCACCTTTCAGAAAAACGATAAGCAACGGTGCTTGGCGGGAAGCCTAGTCTAATTGTCCTTGTCAAAAAACAATGTAAACTTTGTACACACAGTAGATTGTACACAATCTAAAGATTATTCAGTGATCACTGTCTGTAGATTAATACAGTGGTCTCAGAATAAATGTTGCTGGAGCCTGTAGAGAGGAAAAAACGATCACTTGTTACCAATGAGCCTAAAGTGGGAAATTCTATTAAACGGAGTTACTTGTATCTATGTAAATGGGGCATTTGCCCTCGACGTTTAGGCCACTGCTTAAGGTCAGATATTTGGTAAGGCACGTTCTGACATGGTCAAAGAAATTTAGTGTACCTGCCAAACATTTAAGCATACGGGATTGCCTAAAAATCAGGGGCAAATACCGCATACTAATTTCATGTAACTGCGTTTTCTGAAATTTTCCACTACATGCTCATTAGCAAAGAGTGACCATTTTAACCCCTATACACGCCCCAGAAGAAAATAATATTTATGCTGACACATCAACACAAGGGAAAATAATCCATATTTTGGTTGTGAAGCAATAAATACGATCAAGATTCAACAAAATGTGGTGTTCAGGAGTAAACTGCATTGCCATCCAAGCAATCGCTCCTCCAGGGCCCAGATATCTCGCGCGAACTCTATACTTTAAATAGAGTGACGTCTGCTAGGCCACAAGCTGGACGCGATTATCCAATCGGGAGATTCGTTTCAACTTAAATTTTGGGTTTCAAGAAACATATACGTCTGTTATCTTGTTTACTTAGTTGCATTGATTTTCTAACCTTAATACACTGATACCAAAATATGTTTATCAATTTTTTATTATTATTATTGGTATTATTATTATTAATAAAAATGTTGAAAAGTATGTTGTTATTAAAAATCGTTAAAGAATGCGTCTATTACCAATACAATTACATTTTTGGCATTGAAGGCGCCGATTGGATAACCGCGTGCATCTGCCGGTTTCTATCCGAGGCCGCGGGCTCACCTGGCTGCTGGACGGGCGCGGGCGCCACGGTGGCGGTGGGCCTCCTGACCGCCGCCGCCGCCGCCGCGGCCGCCGCTGCCGCCGCCGCGGCCGACGCCATGCCCAGGTGCTTGCGCAGCAGCGGGTTGGCCTGCAGCTCCTGCTGCACGCGCGCGCGCAGCGACGGCATGAAGCGCTCGGGGAAGCGGTCGTGCGTGAAGAACGGGTGCTGCAGCAGGTCGGCGGCCGACGGGCGCGCCGACGGCTCCAGGCGCAGGCAGGGCGCGGCGAAGGCCGCCGCCAGCGTGGGCCACGTCGGGAAGAGGCGCGCCAGCGCGCGCGTCCCGTCCTCCCCCGAGCGACGCAGCCCCTTGTACAGCGGGTTGCGCGCCACCATCTGCAGGTGGCGCGGCGCCAGGCGACCTGCCGAGCCACAGCCATTCGACCTTTCGGGCGGAGCCCCAACTGACACTAATTTCATAATTGATACATAGTTTTCGCAGAATAAATGCCACAAACTTCTAGTGCACGAAAAAGGTTGAAGATGATCACTTTTGATAATGAAAATACAGCGGTAAATTTCATGCAATGAACGTTCCCAAGTTGCATTTGCCCTCGATTGGCGGCAACTCATTTTCCAGTTCTGCTTGGAAGGCACACGTCATGTCTTAGACAGCTTTCGTACGCTTGACAAACACAGAGCAAGGTAAATGCTGATCAGGTGGAAAAGTCACATGGGTAACTTTATTATAAGATTTTTCCGAAGACATCTTTACTGGCATGAAAGGGATCTGCGATCCCACTGCGTATCCTAGAAGTTTGTATTATTTGTTCCGAGACCATAACACGAAGTTCTCAAATCGTCCTTCACCATTTGGTTTTTAGCCTAGTCGTTGAGAGCTCCTGTACACAATGTAACCATTTCTCCCCTAAGCGTAAAGCCCAGGAGCATACACGCCACACTCTAGTAGACTATCACCACATGAAGGCGATGCGATTCCAGACGACCTTTGTAGCTTGTACTGACGTTCTCTGCACAACATTAATGGTAATAAAGATTTTAAAAACTTTCAGTCACATTAAGAAAAGTATATTTAGTTCAAATGGATTCACATTGATATATAGGAGTTACTCTAAGAAGGGGTCACTTTCAAGGTCGATAAACAAAGGAACGTCGCGTAGGGCGATGGCATTGCAAGAGATTTACAAATGAGCTAAACGTAAACAAACGCACAGGCGAATTGAGTGTAAGGGCATAACCAGGTGTTATGTTGTCAGCACTAGCCAAGCAGAATCTTTCAAAGCAGTCCCATCTTATAGTAATCTCTGTTAACATATCTACATGAAGCACAGAAACTTGTCGAAATTGCAGGTAGTCGTCACAAACACGAACAACTCGAGAGAACATAACAAGGTCATCATCAAAAGATTATTTCCGGAGATCCGAAATTCGAAGCTTCAAATCTTACTAAACAGTTTGTATATCTACAAGAGCTTATCGACGGCGATGGAATTACTTTGCTTTTTCATACTGACAAGAACAAATCATAGACATATTATTTTTGGTGACCGGTTTTCAAAGTGCAGCTTATGGAGGAGCTGGTAGATCTAGAAGCGCTGGTTATCAGACACAAACACGTTTACTCGTGTACACAAGAACGAATCGCAAATAATTATTTCCATGGCCGATTGTAGGCGAGTATCTTACCGAGTAGTTTGCAGTTATGAAACATTTGGGCGACACTGAAATGCACCAAAAAAACGCCCAACCAGCAGTTTAAATACATTTCGTTCAAGTTGGTTGAACAGAAGCTCGGGTGGGCAAGACGACAGAGTCACAAACAGTCGATTCAATCGATAGAACGGTTCGATTCAGCGACCGAGCTCCAAAGCGCGACTCACCGAGCAGCTTGCAGATCTGGAAGAGCTGGTCGACGTCGGAGTCGCCGGGGAAGAGCGGGTCGCCGGTCATCATCTCGGCGAAGAGGCAGCCCACGGCCCAGATGTCCACCTCCTTGCCGTACTTGGTGTCGCCGACGAGCAGCTCGGGCGCGCGGTACCAGCGCGTGGCCACGTAGTCGGTGTACGTCTCGTTGGGCGACGCCGCCACGAGCCGCGCGAAGCCGAAGTCGCACAGCTTGATCACGCCCAGCGGCGACACCAGCACGTTCTCAGGCTTCACGTCGCGGTGCACGATGTGGTTGGCGTGGCAGAAGTCGATGCCGCGCAGCACCTGCCACAGGCCGGATTCAGCGACACGCGGCTCGAAGAGAGACCAACACATTAGCGTACCAGTACGGTTAGTGTACCGGACTGTTGTACCCAAGTTGGCGGGTTCAAAACCGATCGAAGCCGTGGATCTTTAAGGGCGAAAAAATCCTTCGTACGCCTTCCTTCGGAGGGGAAGTAAAGCCGGCTGTCCCATGTTCGTAGATTTACTTGCATGTAAAAGATCCTCAAGCCTAAATGACGCCTCTGAGCTAAATTCAAATCGCCTGTTTCTCGCCCGAGAAATACCTCCTTTCTCTGCTAGTTCTGCCAGTGCTAGTTGGTGAAAGACGGAAGAGCAGGCCTCATGGCCTGAGTCTCACCACGTAAAATGTTTCAATTCAATTCAATTCAATTCACATTAGGCATAGGGGGACGCTCCTCAGCGTACACCGCTTTTGCATCTCGGCGCATTGCGCCAACGCGAGCTCGATGGTACTCCGGAGCTCGCTATACCGCTACAGCGATGTCCAGAACACGTGTCTTTTAATAGTTCGAAGGGCAGCACGGCCTCTGGGTGGCAAGCAGCAGACTGGCAGAAACCGTGAGCTTATGTATAAAACACGGTACGAGAATCAATTTTCTTTTAAAACATCGAGATCCTTCTTTGTTGGAGGTTTTCCTCTGCCTATAATGGTTTAATTACGTTTTTGTTTTGTTTAGGTACACTTTCTTGCAGAGAGATGTTATTTTTCTCTAAAATAAAGTTGTATTTTTACGATAACCAAGGCTGAACTGTGGCAAAAGGAACCAGGAGAGACAAAGCAAGTTTATTTAAATGCCCTAATATTCCCCAAATTCAGAAAATCAAAAATTCAGAAATGAGGCACTAAAATATTATGAATCTTCAAGACTATTTGTGTAAGAGCTAAGCCCATATATTACGTAGGTCACCAAATCAACTGTTTTCTTTTGTCCTCAGGGCTATCAAGTCCTGTCCCAATTGTATCGCAAGAAATAGCATCAAATGTTCATTAAACATGCCAAGCAAAATATATTTAATGAACAATGTTAACTTTAAAATAATTGGGGATAACAAATAATTTTGTAAGCGCGTGACTTTAATATTGAAATTCAACCATAAAAATTCAGAATTCAACCATTGAATTCAGCACAGGAAAATGTAAATATTTTTTGAAAGCATTATAAAATATTCTATATTTATTTATATTTATAATTAATCTTTTTTATTACAACTAATAGATTGAAAAATTAACAGTTAAATTATATTAAATTCTATGTATGATTCACTTGGTGTTAAAGTTTCTTCACTGCGTGAACAATTACGAATATTTTTGGGACTGTGCTTCTGAACATTATGCATTTTAAACCAAACGATTATGTTAAACCAAATGTTTAATGTAGGTAATATTGATGATAATAGTTGATACAAATATTTAAAATAATTAAGCTTTAATAAGCTTAGTTTATAATTACACCGAAAGAAAGCAAATATCATTGTAAATAACAAATGTGATAATACACACGCACCTCGGCAACCGCATAATACTTGTACACGTAGGCCGGACAGCCTAGAAGTAACCGCATAATACTGTCAAAAACTTTGTAATTCTTTAAAAATCGCTTACGTGCACAGCAAAGTTTGCCACCCATTACTTTCCCGCCAAAGGTCGTGACGTCATTCTGGACATCTCTATTCAACCGAATGTAGCGGGCGACTTATATCGAATGCTTGCTTATAGTGCGAATGAAAAGGACATGGCATTACAGAAATACACTGCTCACGCTACCGTCACAATTCAGAACTACGTCAACGCACAATAAAACATGCAAATTCTCTTCTCCTCCTATTGGCCACATGGTTGCTTTACGCTACGCTATGCAAAAACTCTGTTGTACCTACTTATATTTCTGTTGTACCTACGAGGATGAAAGAGATTACACTGGAAAATCTGTAAACGAAACCAACTCAAAAAAGGGAATGTCTCCTCTGGATAAAAACATGAATTCTCTCGTCTACATTATCCAGTAGTTAGTAATACAAAAAACAAAACTGTAGATTAGTGTTCTTTGCTAGAGGGCTGAGACAACAGTGTGCGACATGCCCATCATGTTGGTCGGGCACTTGTGGCGCTTCCTTCTATGAATCTGTTCTTCTCGTAACTGAATTTGAAGTACTGCGCGTGGCCCCAGTGGCAACCTGTATGCGCCCGCGACTGTGGCCGTAGGACCCACGATGGAAGGGCATGGATGGGCTGTTGCGCAGCCAATCAACCAATGAGCTTCATGCTGCATATATATATATATGTGTGTGTGTGTGTGTGTGTGTGTGTGTGTGTGTATGTGTGTGTGTGATTTTTTTAAAATATTGAATCTTTTATTTCAACATGGTATTTTCGGTTAGTCCCCGTTGAATATTGTCAATTTACGCCTCTTTAAAAAATGGTCCTAATTAACACTGCTCGCTTGCCATGCCGCATAGTGGCAAGCGACGTCTGGCCTGGCTTTTCATTCAAACAAAGTGCCGGTGGTGTGATCACGACGCTCGCCGCGAGTCTCACCTGGAAGATGTGCGAGCGCGTGACCTCGTCGCCCAGGCCCTGCTGGTGCTCCTCCAGCTCGTCCAGCACCGTGTGGTCCATGTACTCGAACACCAGGTAGAAGCGGCGCTTGCGTCGGAACACCTCGATCATGTTCACCAGGTTCTCGTGGCGCAGCTTCTGCGCAACGCACCACCACCACCACCACCGTCACCCACCGTACTCCGCCGCCATTATAATGGACAACAGGAGATTATATGGAGAGAGGAGCTGCAGAATATTTAAGAAGGAAATGTAATGATAGAGCTGCTAGGGTTATTGAAAGGTATAGGCTTCGGAACGAGACGACAGCTAAGAATAATCGTAAATATTGAAGAGAAGAGTGAGTGCAAGTTAAGGAGAAAATATGGGATTAAGGAAGAAGATTGAAATAATTCATTGGGATGATGTCTAGATATAGGAGGAAAAGAAAACTGTGCTGATATGTGTGTACAAAATAAATTAAGAAGGATTTGGTTTACATCGGTTTGGAAAAAATGTTACCATTGCAATTTTCGAAAATTTTGGTTCAAATGGGTCTCGAGATTATAGCATGTTTATAAAGGCATTAGGCGCCGCAGTACCTTGAGCATACGTATCTCTCTGAGCGCCATCTTGCGCACGGATTGGTCCTCCTCAGTCTCGATGAACTTCTTGATGGCCACCACCTGCCCCGTCTCGCGATGGCGGCACTTCATCACCAGCCCGTACGAGCCTTCGCCCACCACCGACAGGTTCTCGTACTTCTCCATGCCGCAGCGCACGGGGCTGGCGGAGGGTGTCGGGGTGGGGGCGGGGGCGATGGCGGGGGCGAGGAAGGCGGCGACAGCGGCGGGGGCGGCGCGCAGGCGGCGCTCATGGCGCCCGGGAACGGGGCCCAGGCGCTCTCCTGCAACACGCCACGCCTACATGTACTACAGAACGAATGTTACAAACTTCTAGGGTAGTCGAAGATGATCACTTCTTACCAATGAACAGGGGTTTTTCAATTCCATATAAGCAAGTTACACATTTGACCTTTCCCGCTTATTGGCAAATTATTTTACACGCATTATTAAAAAAACGTTCTGAACTTAAATGTCAATATTTTCTAAGGAGAAATAATTACGATAAAAAATTGATAAACATTCGTAAATTATATAATATATTTTTTCCACTTTGTCTATGAAATTGTTGTCAGTTTCCATATCCATACAAGTGGGCCGTGGTATTGCGTTAACTAGTGCGTACATTTATCACATTTCTGGAATGATCAATTAGAATATTAAAAATTTAAACTTTTTATCAAGTGGTTAAATCGTACGAAAATTTAATCGTAACATTGTATTAAAATTCCTATTTTGAAAATTACTATAAGATGATCGTGTCTGTTTTTATTGCTGAATCCTAGTTGAATTAATGAATCCCAAATAAGTTTAAATCCTTCAGGAATTAATTATATTTTAAATTCAACCTTACATAAGTATTGAAAAAAGCAAAATTCAGTAGGTACATTCAAGTTAATGAAAGAAAATTGAATAGTTTTAATTTTTTCAAGCATGCTTCAATTATTGTGTTAATTGCAAAACAACATACTTCGCTGTCATTAACAGTCGTTTAGTAATCCAAGATTCACTAAAACAACTTTTTGTTAAAATCATCTCCCCCACCCCCATTTTTATACGTATCTTTCAATGCGTCTGATCGTTTATTATTTGTTCACTAATAATGCTATTATTCGTCCTAACACTAACGTATAACTACTACTTTTATTTTACCTATAACTGACTTTTAAGTAACTTTTATTTTCCACGTTTAATTCAAATAAAATTGAAATTGAACCTCATCTTTACGTAATACTAAAGAAATACAGAGCAAAGAATAAATAAATCTAATATAGATATTATCTCGAACATTTATTGCCATTTAACCAGCATCGTGCCAATACTGTGACGTATATGTGACGTACCGCGAGTTAATTTCATTAAAATAATGTGTCTGCACCGGTTATTCTCGGTACGTCACTTTTACGTCAAATGTGTCAAAAGTCGGGCAGAATAAACACAAACAAGACTAGTAAAAAAAAGCAAGAGAACAGAAATGATACACAAGCTGAAAAAAGTCTGAAAGTGTGAAGCCAGAAAGAGACCAGAAAGAGAAAGACATGCAAGACACACAAGGCAGGCAAGAGAGGTAAGCCAAACAACACAGACAAGGCAAACAGCACAGGAGAGACAAGACATGTACGAAACGGCAGGGTAGACAATCATGACAGACGAGAAAAATAAGGCAAGTAAGACTCACACAGGTTTCTCCTTAGAAATTATTCCTCAAGACGTCTGCAGCAACTTCACAACTGTGATATGTTTCATCCAAACAATTTCCTTTGCATTATCAGTAGGGGCGAACCTTTGAACATCTCTCCTCCAAATCCTCTTTTAACCTACACATTAATGCAATGAAATCAAAATACCCACTTACCCTCAATGAAAAGAACTATAGGCGCAGCGCCGGATTAACATTATTAAGAAACCTAAGCATTACAATCAATGGGCTCTCTAACATGAACACGGAAATATTGAACAAGCATGTGTACTCAATGTGAATAAGAAAATGTACTATAAACTTTGCAATTAAAAAATAATATTAAAATATTTATGAACTAATATAATTTTTTGTTTAAATAATGTTGGGGATCTCTATCCGGCGGGATCATCAGCATGATTTAGTCCACAACGGCGATAATTAATGTGTTATACTTAAAAAGGAAATTAACGTAACTTTTTTAATGAACATTCTAATCACACTTTGAACATAATTCATACTAGGGAATGCATTCCTGCGTTGCGTTAGTAGAACTAACAATAAAAGTGACAATTGTGCCACCGAAATCATATAATATGTATTAACTGTTAGAATGTCACAACCATTTTGCAGAAACATGAGCTCTGTGTAATATTTCTGATGAGCATTACAGCCACGACCGTTTATCTTCTCTCATTGGAAATAACACTTTTGTCTCAATCTGAACACATCTCAACTTCGAAATGAATTTTCCATCAGTGTACTAGAGCGGTGGAGCAGCCCACTCCAGTCCACTCACTTCCAATTACTTGCACAGCTGGCGGCAGCGCTGTTTACCAGTGTCTCGCAATTCACTCCGAGAGACAGTGTATACGGAAACCGGAGTATTCGGTACGTCGCCAAAGATGACAGACAGACAGACACGAGAAGAACGCAACTAGGGAACTCCTGGGTACTTGACAGGTGGGAGAAGTGCAAAGATACTGTTGTCACGTAGCCCTCAGACACGTGCTTAATAGCCTTACGAATCGATCGCGGAATAGTTCTCGCATCATCGCAGTTGTTCTCATGTTGCACTCGTCTTAGGGGAAAAAATGTACATAATAATTGAAGTGTGGAAACTGAACAAGTTTTCTCACGTGGAAATCACCAGCGGTAAAACATTAGTTATAGACCGACCGGAATCGACAATGTAGGGAAGTCCCAAAATTGAAATCACAGGAACTGTACGTCGTTCAGCTTTCTTTTCACGTGATGACAGGGGGGAATTTAGATGCCGAGCTCTTCATGCTTAACGAAACGTCCTTTCCCAATACAGGCCACTCTTCAGTCCGACTGAAAATACCGATTTAGACTTTCGCATTTCACCACCGTACGACGTTGCGCAAACGATCCTGGCGAATACTCGAGCAATCAAGCAATTAACGATATCAACATTCGAATAGTGAAACGCGTAACAAGAACACTTTTTCTTCAGAAATCATTAACTATCCAACGAAATGCAATTGAAGAGAACATATTCCTTGGCGAGATTGGTAGAGACGATAGAGAGACGGACTTACCACTCGGCGTTGACGGGCCTTCTGATCGACTGACACATCTCACATGATCACCTCTCCACTGACTGCGTCCTGCTCCGCCTCGCCCCGCCCCGCCAACCCCTTCTCCTCGTCCTTCCCTTGGAGACTGCCCGCTCCGCTGAGACCCGCCCCTCCCAGCCCGCCGCTGGCTCTTCCTGCTGCCCCTCCACGAGCTCTCTCGCGGGGATCCCACCCTCGAGCCTTCCCGCCTCCTCTTCGCTTCCCACCTCTTTCCACGCACTTGCTCTTCGTCTCGCTTCTGTCCACACGTTGTTCCATGTACTCTCCCGTCCTCTCACGTCATTCCCCTCACTTACTCAGCCCTTCACGTCCTTTCTCACTTTCTCTCGTATTCTTCGCCATTTCCACGTGCTTTCTCGTTCTCCCTCGGCTTTCCACCCAATCACACACGCTTACACGTCCTCCCTTATTCCACGCCATTCCACGCGCTTTCTCGCCCACTCACGTGTTTTCACACCATTACATTTTCTCTCACACACTCACCCTGTTTCCATGAACTTTCTCGTCACTCCCACGTTTTTCGACTTCTTTACTCCCTTTTTCCACGTTCTTTCACGCCCCACTCTGTTTTTTCATGATCTCCATTTTTCCTATACCCTCCGATGTGGTTAATGTGAAGGAGATGACAATGGGCCCCAAAGATCGGTCACGTACTACCACTATGATTCACCCAAAAAAATACGATACTCGATGATTACGGTACCAATCCAAGTTTTATTAATGGCAGTATACCAATCGTCATATGTGGAACCAATGAGATGAGAACGCATTGGCGTTGCATCAAACAGAGAAGATTTATCCATGTAATTTTACTGCTAAAGTTTTAGCGCTGATTTTTGTCTTATATGCTTGTGTTATTAATTTCTAAACCACTCATGGAGTAGATAGCAGGTAGAAAGAATCACCACAAAATGAGCATATAACAGCAACGCTTATCTTCTCTTACAGAAGTCGGGGATCGCCCGTCTCCTGATTGCGAACGTACAACACAAAACATATTCATCATTAGCAGAATATGCACACGCTCCATTGGCCATTCCTAGCGCTACACGTGGATCCATCTCTCCGCGCTGCCATGAATAAAAGATAGCTGCCGCGCTGTTATTCCTATCCGCATAATAGGGCTGAGCGACTCCGGCCATAAAGGCGCGTCTCGTCTACGCCGCTGACCTCCACGAAGAGCACCGCCCCCCGCCCCTCAGCCGATTAGAATCTGCGCGGCGAGCCCTCGTGCCATCTCACATCAGGGAAGATTCATCTCTCCGGGAGAGGTGCACAGGGCTTCAACTGATGTCACTGCAGTGCCTCTGGCCGGGAGGTCCTGGGGTTCCACTCCCGACGTTGGCAGGATTTTCGACACTAGCCAGATAGCTACGTGGAATTCAGCGACAATAGCTACGTGGAATTCAGCCGATGTCTGGGGGAGAATTCTAGCAGCCGGCGGTTCTCAATGGTGGTTTTCCTTGATTTTTCCAATCAATACCAGGCTAATGCGGGAGTAGAACCCTAACGAAAGGGGCCACGGACAGCAAGCGATATTTCCTTGTTCTATCCTCACCCCTTACTTACACACACTTATACACACGTACATGCCCTACACTACCACACATGCCAGGAGACCGGTCGGGAACTTGTCACGGCTGGGGCGGCGCCCCGCTGGCGGGAGATACCTGGTTGGGGAAAACCTCCCTAATCTACGATAGATCAGCGCCGGATCTCGTCATTCAGCGGCAGTGTCATGATCATCGCCACCTTAATGCTCTACACTTACGGGATCAATGATCTTAGCCATTAACGCGCTCGGAATCACTATAAATCAATCATTACTAATCTTACAGCTCACTGATTATTATGTATCCACCCCAGTC